CCTAATGCAGATTGACAAAACCAACGTAATGCATTGGGGGGTGGTAGCATGGTTTATAACGTGTGAAAAAGGGTGACTTACAAAGGCATAAACTCCTGCGGCCCATGTTCTACATCTTGACTAAGCTTTAAGATCTGCACCACCAACTCCACTCAGTCAATGCACCTTCTCCCTGACAATTCCCACACTCCCTTTGAAAATGATGACTATCCCTCCTGTTTTTTCCCAGTGCACTCAGCATTTCTCAGCATCTCTCAGCATAAGTCTCTTGATCTTCCCCCTCTGAGTCTTTGGGAGTTCAGTTCTAGCTTCATTGGAGGACACATCTACCCAAAAAGTAGAAAAGTTATAATGGGAAAAAAACCTGAAACATAAATGGCTTGAAACATTCATTATTCATTTATTATGCAAGTAAAATTTGATGTGGATTGGTAGTGGCTCTCGTCTTCAAGGTGATCTAAGGTTCCAGGCTACTCCCCACATGTGGCTTTGTATGTCATCTTTGCTGCTAAATAGAACAGAAAGAAGGTGAACTGATCTGGTCTGAAGGGAAAAGCATGTTTCCGCATTTATTTTCATTGTGGAGGTGAGTCATATGTCCTTTCCTAAGTAAAAGTATACAGGCAACTTAGTGACCACATAAACCAAATACAGATTTATAGTCGCTTCATTTATCTGTTAATGTGTAGCCACACATAAAAACAACTCATAATTTCTTATAACAATAGCTGTCTTCTTTCTTGGAGAAATTTGTGAAAATATCAAATATCCTCACTATTAAACAGTATTTGTAGTTCCTATATTTAGCAGGTATTTTCAAATCCAAAATCACACTTTTGTTTTTCTAACGGTCCTATAAATCTCAGCAGGGAGGATTCACCCTTCTGCATTCAATAGCACCTCTCTGCACAAATCTAGTCAATAACATCCATAATCCCAAATGACTGAGAAATTTCTTTTGGTGCTTGATCAAAACCAGAAACTGTATCTCTCACAGTTTGACTCATTGTTGACTGCCTGATGAACATACCTGAGATATTTTACTGGTTTCCTTAAGTACAGTGAAAAAAACCAGAATATTTTCTTGTGGCAGGTAGACAAAAGACAGAAGTATGATGGTGAATTAATTTTTCTTTCCTTGTCAATACTGGCACGTCTACCAGGAAGTCATTTTCTACCTCTGTGCCTCTTTCATAGACAAAATAATTGCTCCGTAAAGATTACTGTATCTTTATTCCTGAAACTTATGAATGGTTGTATTACATGGCCATTCATACTTTGCAAATATAATTTAAATTACGGTACTTACCTAAAAATAGATTAGATTGTCTGCATGAGTCCATCCTAATTGCATGATCACTTTCAAAGAAATTTTTCCAAAGGAAGATTGAGGAGAATATTAACAGAAGAGGAAGCTGGAGAGAATCTACTCATGAGTTAGGTTTAATGTGCAGTTTCTGACTCAAAATGTAGAGATTCTTCACATGCAAGGCTGCAGAGACACCTCAAGGAACAATGACAGCTCAATCTGATAGCTTCCCACTTTTGTGGGTGTTTGTTTTATTTTGTTTACTTTTAGATCTTATTTTGTAGCACAGGCTGGTCTGTACCTCAATATGTATCAGCCTCACCTCAAACTCAAGGCAGTCTTCCTGCCTCTTCCTCCCAAATGCTGGGATTATGGATGTGAGCCACCATGCCTGCTTTCATGGCTCTCTCTTAAACCAACAAAAACTAGATTTCTCAGATAACTGGATTCCAAAAGCAACCTGAGTAAACCTGGAGTGTGATTCTTCCCACTGTCTCCCAGTAAGACATGCTTTGATGTCTTGAAACTGGCTTGTGTAACTGAGCAAAGAAACCAGCGGAACCACACGTATTCTTGCCTACACTAGCAAGAGATATATACACATATATATTATTAATGGTATGTATTATATAATTTTTTTGAAATTTTTTTCGCATGGTCTGTTACAAGACTATAAAATATCACTATATAGTCTTTGAAAGAGTGATTTTTAAAAATTGTATTGTGTACTTTTTACAATTCTCTGTATATATACAATGTATTTTGATCACATTTACCTCTTACTGCCATTTTTCTCTTTCCCACTTCTGACTTCCTTTCACCCAACCATCTTCCTCTTACATTCATGTTTCTATGGGCAAGTCCCACAGAATTTAATTATATTGTATGAATAGGAGGAAGTTACTTACTAGTGCTTTGGCAACTGAGCAGTAGCTACACAGAGTATTTTAAGAATGCACCTTCTAAACATGGTCAGTTTACAACAAATATTTCCATCCTTCTTTATCTACCATTGAGAACGTTTTCATCCTTTGTCATTTAGTTAAGCTTGCTCAGCGTGTGGATTCACTGTCAGTCTCAAATGTCATTCAGTTATATCCACCTTTCTAACCTCATCTGCTTCCTAAAACCTGTATAATCCATTATCTTTCAACAACCAGTATCTTCTATGCCAAATTTGACTCTAAAAACAAGCCAGTAGGGGTGTGAGAATAATGAATGTCGATGAGAAGAGAAATTCATTCAGAGACAGAACACTAGCCCCAAGGTGAAGGAGTGGGAAAATGTGGACTATAAAAAGTTGAGACTCAGGGCTGGGCATTGTGGCACACACCTTTAATCCCAGCACTCGGGAGGCAGAGGCAGGCCAATCTCTGTGAGCTCAAGGCCAGCCTGGTCTACATAGTGAGTTCCAGGACAGCTGGGGCTACAGGGATACCCTGTGTCAAAAAGACCAAAAGTTGAGACTCAGTTTCTTATTCTCATTTGGAGAATGAGAATTCTCCATTTGGAGTCAGGAACATTTCAAAGTTCCAGTACATCTCAAACACTTAGTGAACTGAGTGCAGTAAGTCCTTCTTTGGCGGCCTCCCTGAATGTATGGGATAAATGAGAGTCCATGGCTCACTGCCTGAAATCTGGAGTTATTACTACTATTACCTTGACCCCAGGACCCACCAAACATATCCCTCTTCTCTTTCTCATTCCCTCTAGCTTTCTTTTGACCAGGTATCAGTGTGTCAGAGCTTGCTTATTTAACACTCCCACAGAACACACATACCGGTCAAAATGAGATACATCAAATAAACCAGATTTCTTATTACATAACTTTTAAAGGTGCTATTGTTTATTGTGGGTGCAATGTTTTCTTTTTCTAGTTGAATACAACTGAAAGCTACTAAAATTCTTATCAAGGCCTTCCAACCAATTTTCTTCCTATCCAAACTGTAGCTCTTTTCACTTTCTTCACTCTTTTATTCCAAATCCAACTCTCACATAAGAGTTTGACATAGTGTACTAAATACTTATATTTTTTCCTTTTAATGTAGTAGACTCTTTCTTCCTTGGTTCAGAACTAGTATTAACCAGCAAAGAAGTTTCTGAGCACAACTGCTATCAGGTGATATCATCCTGATTTGTCATAAACTCCCTGGAATTGATTTTCATAAGATATATAGGTCATTCATGATGTTCAGGTGCACTGGAGAAAGAAAACTGGGGAAGGATGCAGGGGAACTTTCACGAGGACAATGGATTTTCTGCTTTCTCTGATACCTCCCGCTCCCCCTGGAAAAAAAGGGTAATGCATAAAAGTTTTTATTCCAGGCATTCCACTTTGGTGTTGGTGCTGTTCTTGTTTATCTCTAGACACATCATCTTGAGGATTTGTCCTGATCACCACCTTTACAACCTTATTTGACCCACTCCTCACCATTCACAGCTTAAGTTAAAATTGAGTCACAATGAAGAACTGACAGTTTTCCCAAACCCCAAGCCCACTTGCCACAGGCATTTGGATCTGACTGTTTTCATCTGGATCACTCTGCCTTTTGCCCCTGACCCCTTTATATTTAAGGATATATCTCACTTTCTCCTTTTTAAAAAAAATTATTATTTTGGGGGGCTGGAGAGATGCCTCAGCAGTTAAGAACACTGGCTGTTCTAGCAGAAGACCCGGGTTCAAATCCCAGCACCCACATGTCAGCTAACTGTCCTTAACTCCAGTACCAGAGGATCTGACGGCCTTTTCTGTCCTCCCCGGGCACTGCATGACACAGGTGCACTTACGGACATGCAGGCAATACACGCATACACATAAAAATAAAAATAATAAAATATTAAAAAATATTTTATATGTATTAATGTTTTGCCTGCAGGTATGTAAGTGCACCCATGTCATGCAATGCCCACGGAGACCATAAGAGCGAGTCAGACCCCCTGGAACTGGAGTTACAGACAGTTTTCAGTTACCATGTGGGTGCTCTGGATTGAACCCAGGTCCTATGTAAGGGCAGCCAGGGCTTTTAAGAGCTAATCTGTGTGTCCAGCCTCTCCACTTCCATCCTTTTGTTCTTTAATGATACCTCTTCTTAGACTGTAAACTTCAGTGGACAGGGCTGGCTCATTTATCCTGACGTTCCCATTGCTAACACAGAGTCTTCTAAAATTCCAATGACCATCTACCATTTGAGAAATAAATGAGACACTGTGCAGAATTTTCAACTTTATTGCTGTTTAATCGTATAATCTGAAACAAGAAAATTATGTCTTAAAAATATCTGTCTCAGTCTTACAGAACAGATTAAAAGTGATAAGAACACAGTCAACTTCTCATCTTTGAATTTTCTTCTTTATTTCTATACTATAAGTATTGTGCTGCTTGGTCCTTTCACATTTTCAAGGTAATGGCTTATCTACTTATGCCTGAATTAACTAAGGTATTTCCCAATAAGATAGTAAAATTCTCTTAAATCTTATAAACACCAATAAATGGATTACTTAAATCACTTAGAAACCTGTCTTTTGAAGTTACATTACTATTAAAATGAACAACAGTTACACCAATACCCACTTTATCGCGTAGAACAGGAACAAACGCTATACACAGTGTGCTGACCAGCATCATCCCTCCCTCCACTAAAGAGAACACTAAATTTTCTTTTCTAAAACATAGTAAAGTACCTTTCTGCCTTTATTTGGGACAAGAAGAGGGACTGAACATAGCCTTGGATTGGAGACCAGCTGTGGCAACGCTACAAGCCCTGGCTGCAGCTTTGGCCTGGGCTCTTTCTTTTTCATCTTTCAGTGCCTCTTCATACCAGGGCATGAAAGTAGTAGGAACGGTACCATGGATCTTGGCAAAAAATTTCAGGACTTTCATTTTGCTGGTTTCAGCATAGGCTCTTGGGCCCCACAGGAACTGATAACATGGAGGATCACTATTAGGCACCTGCTGATATTCCAGGTACTTCTGTCTCACAAAATCATCGATGAGAACCTTCTTAACATCCCCAAATATGAAGTGCTTCCTACCCTCATATACTCCCATAATATTCAGCACCTCCCAGACTTGCTCCTCTGAGGCACAGTTGTTCTTTGTGAAGATCACACCCAGGACAGTCATTAGCAGACCAGTCACAGGCATACCTCTTTTATCATTCACTGTGGTTCCACATTCTAGATCCAGCTTGTTGATGAGGACATAGGCACTCCTTTTGGGATCCACTTCTTTCACTTCAAGGCCAAAGACAAGCTCTATGTGGTCAGAAGCTTTCCTCAGGATCTCAGGGAAGTGATTCTTGTATGTCTGGATTATATTTTTCATTATCTCTGCCTTTGTTATGGGCTCTTTTTCTTGATACTTGTATAGCAGGTAATGCACTAGCAAAGCTATTTTCCCTTCTAGAGGATCTTTTGCCGAGTGCTCGATAGAAAGCTCTGAAGCAACTGTGTTTCCTTCAACTTGGCTTTTGGCCCCATTGTTTGATCCTGTGGATGACACATGTGTAGAATCTGCAGCCTTAGTAGATTGGGCTCTCTCAGGCTCTTGGTGGTTGTGCAATGCTGCAGCAGATGATCCCTGGGGGATAACTTTGCTTTTGGGACTCAAGGAACAAGGAGATTCTTTTGCTGCAGTAGTTTCAGCTTCATTCACATTCTTTGGCTTTTCTTGAGCCTGGCGCCGCTTCTCACGGGCACGTAGCTTGCTCTTCTGTCCCCGAGGCATGATGACTCCTGTCAAGAGACAGCAGGAAAGGCTGTAGAAGAGAGATGGTTCAGTGACCTGGAGGAATGAGGATGAGAGGGTATGAGTCTCTTCAGCAAGAATATACTACCTTGGATTTATCCAAAGCTGCCAATAACAGTTTCCTTGAGGACACTTCATCAGGATTTTATTAGGCTCTTCTTTTCTGATGAGCCTTTCCTGATCCCGTGAAAGCACAGTCTTAAGACTACAACTCTTCAGTGATATTTATTTCTTCCTATGGTTGCCAGAGTATCTGAAAGGTCCACACCCTGTGGAGCCTTCCCTGTTCTGCAGCAAGGTATCTTTTTCTCAATTTACTTTTAGGGCCATTATCTTGTCTGATTATTTCTGATTAGCTGCATTGAATGTGAATCACTCATTCCTAGGCCCTGCTTGGTTCCCTGAGTAAAAAACTGAATGGGATTCCCATTTGCCTCTATCTGCCTAGAATTGGGCTGGGACACTAAATGAGACAGATTTGGGATGCCTTCTACCCTCATGATAATTGAACTGTCAGATTTTAGGCAGAGTCTTCATCTTTACTTTCTTCCCTCCTTCGCTTATCCTCTGCGCCCCCACCAATCTATCTTTCTTGAAGGTACAGGATTTTGAACCGAGGACTTCCCACATGGTAGGCACAAACAATCTGTTGCTGAGTCATGTCTCAATTCCTCATCTTTACCTCTTATAGGACTTGATTTCTCTCCTTCTACTGACTTGAACTCTGGCACGTGTTCAAGTCCTTCACATCCCTGGCAAAGGCCTTCACATCCTTGGCAATACTAAAGAAGAAATCTGGGGGCTCAGCATGCAGCTCAGTGGAAGACTACTCGCCTGGCCTACATAGTCCTGGGTTCAATTCCCACTATCAGGGGGAATTGCATGGACACCAGTCTTGGGAATGACAGCCTGCAGGGGATCACCATGAGTTCAAAGCCAGCCTGGGCTTCAGAGTCACCTTAACATAATCCTTGGCTATGCAGTGAGACCTTGTTCCAGACCAAAAAAAAAAAAACAGTAAAAAAGATAAAAAAGTTTCAGACCAACATATCTTGCATAGTAACTGTCATCAGAATGACAGTATTTGCAATGCAAGGTGAAATCCCATCTAATCCACTGTTGAAGCGCCTCATTCTGACATCTCTCTGTGGCAGCTTCATATCATCCTTTCTGCAGACTTTAGGTCTATACTCATAAAACCAAGGCTCTCATTCACCTGATATGACAAAGTATACTGTGCATCTGTATGTTTGTGCAAGGGGTACAGAACGATATAAATATCCAGGGCTTGGGGCTACAGAGACGGCTCAGTGGTCAAGAGCACTGGCTGCTCCTGCAGAGGACCCGGGTATGATTCCTGGCACCCACAATGGCAGTTAGTAACTGCGCTTTCTGCAACTCCAGTTTCAGGGGAATCCGACTCCCTCTTATAACCTCCATGGGTAGTGCATGACACAGGTAGACTTACATACATGCAGTCAATGCACTCATACACGTAAAATAAAAATAGTAACAAAAATAAATATCCAGGGTTTCCAAGAATATCCACAGAATCAGAGCCTGCCTCTTTTAGCCTTTACTTTCATGACAGCCTAGGCTGTCTCCCTTTAATGAGCTGTCACTGCTCCATTAGATCAAGGCCTATATTTCCTCATTACTACCAAACATAAAATGAAGAGTATCAGCCTAGATGGGTCTGCTGACTCAGGCCCAAAATCCCAGTTGGGGTAGAGGATCAGCAAGTTCACAATCTACCTGAACTACAGAGTTAGTTCATGATCAAACTTGATTGAGACCCTGTGCCAAATTATAAAGTATCTAAAAAAGATGGGGGGAAGTGGCTGGAGAGGTGGCTCATTGGTCAAGAGTACTGGCTGCTCTTGAAGAGGACCTAGGTTTGACTCCCAGTACCCACATGGTGGGTAACAACCATCCTTAACTCCAGTTCCGGGGAAATCTGATGCTCTCTTCTGACATCCACAGGCACTGCATGTCACAGGTGCAGTTACACACATGCAGGCAATACACTCATACACATAAAATAAAATAGATGAAATATTTTTTAAGGATTTGGGCCTATAAGTCAGTGTTATACCACTTGCTTAGCATACATGACATCCTAAACATAAACCCCAGTAACTCATACATATATACACACACATTCACAAAAAAAAGGAAAGGAAACCCCAACCCACTGAACTTAAATCTCAGTCACCTAGAAGACTACTCCTGATTTGAATTGTGCAGCCTTACTCCAGGGTCCTTCTGCACCCGACTCGTGCCAGAAACTAAAGCAAGTGGTGACCTGTGCCTTACAGCAATGCCAGTGGCTTCCAGTGCTGCCTGTAGATGACAGCAGTCTTTAAGGCTTCCAGTGTTCTAAGTATGGCAGCACTTCTTTTTAAAAATATTGTATTTTATTTTATGTGTATGAGTGTATTGCCTGCATATGTGTAAGTGCACCCGTATTGTGCATACCAGCATAGGTAAGAACAGGGAGTCTGATTCCCGGAACTGGAATTACAGATAGTTGTTAAGTCACCTGTGGGTGCTGGGAAATGAACCCAGGTCTTCTGCAAGAGCAGCAGGTGCTCCTAACCACTGAGCCATCTCTCCAGCCCCAGGCTGACGGTTTCTTACAGTACTCACAGTCATTTCATTGATTTGTGGTAGAGCCTGGGACTCTTGCTAATGATCAGAGGCAGACACCATGCTAATAATATCCTCACCTCCCAGAGCAGCTGGTGGAAGTCCAGCTTACCACTTTAACGTCCCTTCCCTTTGGAGTCTCTCTGCCAGCTCCTATTTGCTGTCTCCCAGAGGCCCCCTAAATCACCTTCCAGAATCTCAGTCCTATAGGGGAATCTTATCCCCAGTGTCCCAGTAAACACTCTGCTTCAAGTCGCTCCCCTCCCCCTGCTTAGAGTAGCTGGAGATACTCCCTGCACCTCCCCCCACAGAATCTACCAGAACCCTGCCCCCTCGACCTTGTGCTAAGTGTCCCACAGGAGCCATCCTCTGGAGGTCTACTAGCAGCCTCCCTTCTTGAAATAGTGTTTTTTCTCTCCACCCTACATAGTTAGTTGGAATCTCCTAGATGCAACGCCCCACCCCAGTCTCCCAGACATACCCCCCTTGTAGTCTCCCAGGGCTGATATCAGAGTTATTATGCTTTGCTGGTTCAACGCTGAGAAGCAGAGGAATTAACTCTGCAGGACCCCTGATGATTCATACCTCTAACTCCGGTACTCAGGATGCTGATGCAGGAGAATGGCTTCGTCTAGACCAATGTTCGTGAAATCCTGTCTTAAAAGAACAACGACAGGGGCTGGTGAGATTGTTCCGTGGGTAAAGGTGCTTGCCACCAAGCATGATGAGCAGAGTTCAACACCCAGGCTCACAGATGGGAGAGAAAGTACCCACCTCTACAAATCGTCGCCTGACCCTCACACTTGCGCTGTGGCACTACACATGCGTGCTGCGGCACTGGCGCATGCGTAGATGTGCGAGCGAGCGTGCGTACCTGCATGCGTGCACGCACGCACGTGCACGCACGCACGCACTAAGTGCACACACGTACTAAGTGCACGCACGCACGCACTAAGTGCACGCACGCACGCACTAAGTGCACGCACGCACACACTAAGTGCATGCACGCACGTACTAAGTGCACGCACGCACATGCGTCTACAAACATACACGTAGCTAAAAATAATTTACAAAAAACAAGAACGAAAACAAACAAACCCCAAAACTCTGCGTCCTGTAGTGAAGGATGTAACTCAGTCTTTGAGATTTTCTTTGGCACATGTTCTCTAGCACATGTGGAAGCTGGTGTTCAATTTCTGACCTCACAGAAATTCAACCAAACAACTAAAACAAAACCTTGTGTCCGTAGTGATCTGCCCTAAAGTCCAAAGATAATCATATCTAACCCACCCTGAGTCCCCAGAGTTGGAATTCAGAGGACAGTGTAAAAAGCAGCCTTCGAGGTCAATGTCAGGGGTTGGCCAGTAGGGCCATCTCTGAGGGACAAAGAGTCCCTCAAACCAAACACAGTGTCCTTACCTCCTGGTGGTGACCAAATGGCACCCGGTACAACAGAATTAACTCCTGAAATCACAGAATCCAGAGGTAGAATCAGCGGGAACTAGACACATCCGGACACAACAGACTATAAACTTTCAAGCCTGTAGAGTGCCACAGTGGAGCCTACATTTCTATGGCGCCCCCTCGTGTTTTGGAGTGGAATGAACAGAAATCCTTCCCAGGTGTAGAGCCATATTTTGAGCCATATCAATTAATTATTGATTAAAGGTTCTGTGTGGTACAACACATCCCCTTAGAAGCTCTGAACAATATCTCAGTTTGATCTTTTACAGATAATGAGTTATATACCAGGTGTGAGATGGGATGGAATACCTGAAACACAAAATAGGTGACACAGGGCAGGTTTTGTTCTGCTAGAGAAAAACACTAAGTGAATCTTTGTCAATCAGAGTTTGAATTTGTGGAACTTTCTATTCAAAAATATCTCGTTTCTCTAGAGAAAATGAAGTTTGACAGAATTTTGTGACAACATGGATCTTTTATCTAATATTGTGGTGTACCTTGAAGAATAATTTCAGTTTTGATACTCATTATTATAGCAAATACGTGCATGTTCTGATATTTTTGAATCGTCAGTAAGGCATATGATTTTAATATACCATCTTACAGAAGCCGATTACTTGAATAATCATGGAGGTTCGTAAAATTATATTTTAAAAAACTTTTAATTGAATTTTTGCAGATTTCATTCAATGTGTTTTGATCATATTTAGGCCTCCTCTCCTATCAACACAACATTTTTAAAGATGGCCCCTTCCAGGGACTGGAGTTGGGTCAGCAGTTAAGAACACTAGCTACTCTTCCAGAGGACCCAGGAAGATTCCCGGCATCCACATGGAGGCTAAAAACCATCCATAACTCCATTTGCA